TTTCCTGAAAGTGAGAGTAAAGCCTTAAAAAGTGTTACCAGCTGTGGTTACACCACCCTTAAGAGCGTTAAACAGGGAGGTTCCCCTGCGTCTGCTGCCCTGTTTGAAGTGTAACCCACAGGGCAAGGCAGAGGACAGTGTGCATGGCATTCAAGATACTGCCCAAACTGCCCAACTTTGGAATTTAATACTGTATTACCTCTCCTGGAGTATATGGTTCATTCTTTAGGGTCATACTTCTTTTGTATTGAAGTTGCCATTTTTTTTTAATGCTTCTGACTTCATTCCTTAGTAAATGGAACTTACACACAGGCCTACATGTCAATATCTTTGCTCCCTAAATATATCACTTTTTATAAATATCCATTACTGCAACATCACTGTTATCTCCTCTTCACAGCTGCTAGGCCAGATTTCATAAACCTTTTTTCTTAATAAATAGGTCCACCTTGGAAGTTTTTAAACATCTGTGCTTTCAAAACTTTTATACATACAAAATGTCCTGGTCGGGCGTGGTGGCTCATGCCTATAATCCCAGCATTTTGGGAGGTCAAGGCCAGTGCATCACCTGAGGTCAGGATTTCAAGACCAGCCTGGCTAACATGGTGAAACTCCATCTCTACTAAAAATATAAAAATGAGCCAGATGTGGTGGTGGGCACCTGTAATCTCAGCTACTCAGGAGGCTGAGGCAGGAGAATCACTTGTACCTAGGAGGTGGAGGTTGCAATGAGCTGAGATCACAGCAGTGCACTCTAGTCTGAGACATAGTGAGTCTCTCTGTCTCTCTCTCTCTCTCTCAATCAATCAATAGAATGTCCTTATATAGAGCTCACAAACCACAAAAAAAAAAAAAACAACAGATTTCTATTTTATTGAAACTAAAAGTTAAAAACTTTAATTCAACATCTAAACCACTTAAATAGTATTTAATGGCCATCAGTAGCATAATCTAATGATTTGCACATCTGCTACCAAACAATGAAATGTTGTCAATTAAAATTAAAGGTATTGTTAACTCCATAAGTATAAATTTATACACTGGCCTTCAAACCTAATTGAAGATAAATTAAATGCATAATCATATACTTAACGCCTTACAGTTCTCATCAGCCTTAAACACATTTTCAAAACCTTTTTCAGATCAATAAAAGCAAATTTATCCCCATTTTCCTAGTTGGAAAATTAGATTTCTAGGCCTCGTATGAGTTAGCAAAGGCCTGGATAAAATTTTAGATCATGTCACTGTAACTATTTTTTTCATCAACAAAAGGTTTTTCAAATTTCGTACATAGGTTTCAAATTCTAGAAGTTCTTTTCAAAATATAATTTTGAGGAAGATTTGCTGACTTTATTGATTCAAAAATCTAGGCTGAACTTCACGGAAGACTGAGGTTTCTGAGTATGTAAACAAGATAGAGGATTCCCTACAGTTTTCAGATAAATGAAAAATCAATACACTACAGCCCCGTTTAACAAAGAACTGAAAAATCTGTACCCTCCTTAGCTTCCAGTTCAGATAATTTCATTCCATTGACTTAAACTCCCCAGTTTCTACCTGAAATTTTACATAAAGCCCCATGACAGGATATTCCTCATGAGAGAGTTTTGCTCACAGAGCAAATCGCTGGTCTATGTCAGCTTTACAGTTTCCTACATTCTACTATGCCAATATTTAAATAGCTTTTCATTGTAGAACATTTCTAAAATTATCAAATGAACATAAACCTTCTCACTTCTAGTACCATTTTCTGATTTCCCTGTGATTCTCAAAGAAAAGCTTTATTGATAAAGTTGTTAGTGACAGTCTACATTTCATATGAACCTATGAATTTCATTCACATACTTTTCAACTTTCTTTTCAAGCCACTAAAAACAAAGATGAATTAAACTGATCTTTTAAGTCTCTGTTAGCCAGATATTCACAAGCCCACAAATTTCCCTTTGTCTTTTAAGAATTAAATTACTTACACATCAAAGAGGATACTCTATTTTTACTTGGAGACAGAGTTTCTAAATCACAAGTCTCAATGAAAGAGACGCCTGGATAACACCACAAACATACACACTGCAAGCGCACATGAGTGCACAGACACCTGCAGACATATAAACTACCTTGCAGTCTTAAAGGCAAAGCAAGTGGACCACATCAGACATATGAAACAAAGATGTCAAACTAAATCACGCTTATGATTTATATTTTCTTTGAAAATTTATTCCAGCCATTTCACCATCTTACTAACCTGAATGCCCATTATATTTACCCAACAGAATTATAAGTAGCTTTTCTCATTTCATATCTCCTAATAAATCTATAAATCTCTTATGACCTGGTATAAGAAACCTTGTTCAGCCATTACTTCCTATCCTAACAATAAATCCAGGTAACAAGTGTGCTAGTTAATTAATTATAACAGTCTGTTTGCACTGCCACAGACTTGAAACTAACACCCCAGTCCATAGTACAGCAGCGAGGGCTTCTATGTGTGCAGAACATTCTCAGCTATTCTTGAGGACTCTGAGAAGCTGTGGTTACTGAACAACTGCCTGCTTTTGAATGGTGGATCTCACCCTGATCAATCCGAAGCTAGCCATATATCAATACCCTTTGTGTTCCTTCTATTTGTTGAAGCATCCTTGGAGCACTGAGCTTCCCAGGATTTCTTTGGCGCCAAAAGTATTGTTGGAAATTGACATAGCTGCCTCCCCTCCTAGTGTCTTATTCTCACAAGTTTATAAAATTTACCCAGTGTTTTCTGACGGGAAGGCTTTTCAAATCATAGAATAACCAGTCACATGTATCAATTGAGAGAGATCCTTTCTAAGCATAGGCAGCATTTAAAAACATAAAAATATTTACACTGTCTACAGTATGCTTTTGCCCAGTTTACTAAGTACATCTTTGATTTTTATCCAGGAGAGAAATCAACCACAGTTCCTAAAAAGCAGATAAGCTATATCAAAAGAAAAATTAAAAAGGGTGCAGGCATACCCAAACCATAAAATTCAGAGTTCAGTTGCATTGTATTCTAAGACTAAGATTCATGTGGTTAGAAGTTTTAACTAATACATTATTTTAGACGATATCATAAAGGCCTAAAATAACCGATGACTTAATTAAATAATTAAAGGAGCAAATTTGTGTAGCAATCTTATGACCATTTAGGTCTACAAATTACAATATAGACTATACTGTTTTTCTAGAAGTGGCATTTATTCATTAGTTCATATAGCTATTCTTATAACATATGGAAATAATTTGCTATACACAAAATATTTTCAAAGACTAACAAATCTAATCTATATGTTTCAAGTTTTCCAGTAGTGAGCACACAAATTCAAGAAGCAATGAAACAGAATAATTCCTGGGATTTTTTTTTTTAATCCAGCAAGAAAAGTAGAAATCATCCAAGTCTGCTTCTCATTGTACAGCTAAGGGAACAGACTTCACAAGTGACTTGCCCAACACCACACAGCAAGTTACAGGAATCCAGGGTACCAGCTAGGATTTTAATGACTATTTTTCCAAAGAAGTCAACTTTAAAAATAATGAGTGACTCGATTTTACATTCTTTAAGGAAACAGCATTTACTGCTTTCAATATCAGTTTTCACCAAAGTACTATATTAAGATGAAACAGAAAAAAAAAGTTCCTTTTAGTGTTCATTGAAAAGAACCAGCAGTTGGCTCTCAAGTTGCTAGCTTTCCCACACAACCATGCTAAGGATCTGATTCCCCTGGCTGTTCAGTCACAGTCAGTATTAAAGGGAGTGAAAAAGAGGCCTTTGAAGAGAGCATTTGCTACTAATAAAAACAGCATTCTCTAGCTCAGTGATCCACTGTCCTCTCCCTCCCCAACAGAAGACGACTCATTTTGTCCATTTGGCTCCCTGGGGCTGCAATTTTTATGATCTACTTTCTCTTCACCCCAGCCACACCCCACTTCAATTCACTAACTCACTTCTAATATTCTTTCAGCCTTCTAGCATGATTTGAAAGTAACTTAATTGACTTAAGATTTAGTATTCCATCAATGTATGTATTGATTAATAAGAAACTTGATTAATAATAAAATTTCATGCTGGCTAAACAGAGGGAAGTGATGGTCTTTTATAGCAGTCAGATCAAGAAGTACAGGGAAACACAAAATTCAGAGGAAGACAGACAAACATGCTTGAATGTCAGGAAAAGTCCAGAAAATATTGTTCCCTAGAGTGCCCATTACTTAAAATGTAATTTTTTTTTATTTCTAAAACCATCAGCAGCTCCAATTTCCAGGAAATTAACCAACTCATTGCTTAAGACCTGGTCAGTTAAGCCCCTCTGTCTGCACAAGGAGCTCCTTTATAAGAATTCCCACACTGCTTATGGCATAGTGTATTGTAAAAAGAAACTCTTTCACTTTGGTTCTGTTGGTTAAGTCAAGGTACGCTATTAAAACTTACCTTTCCTTTGCCAACAGAAAACACAATGAGTACAAACCAATCCTGAAAACTCTTCAAGCACCTCCTCTCTTTTATGTTTTTCCAATTTTAAGTAAATCTTAAAGTTCTAAATTTCTGAAGTTGCATAAAGATAGTTCATTGCCTTTTTTACTTTTATTCTTTTTTCCTACGTCAGAACTTTCTAGTGGCAAATACTACATCCTACATCATGTGACAGCAAATCAGATTTGTGTAGCTCCGATATTCAACCAACACCTGTTCTCAGCACCTCTACTTTAGCCTTGTCTATGAACAAGAGTTTCAATTGTATCTTAACATTTACAAATCTGAGTACAAAAATTGAAATAGCCAGTTATGAAACAATCATAAATGTTCTCTAATGAAAACCACACTCTCCCACCTGAATTAGATACATAGGTGGTTTTACCCAGAGAAATTTAGGACCTAGTTATACTGCAAGATCGTATTAAAGATAAATGTCTTAATAAGCTTACATCAATTACCTGCTATGTAATATTTTTAAAGAATTGAAAACGCAAATCCTTTCGACACTTACCTGTAGGAGGACCTTCCTCCCATCCTTCTGCTCTCTTAATTCGTTGTGCAGTGAATCCTAAGCAGATATTGACTCCAATGGCAAAAGTGAACAGGGATGTTATCTAAGAGGATAAAGAGACCACGTTGTCAAATACAGCTGAACAAATACATCTGGACTAAATCAAATTACACAAAGGCAATTCAAATGGCTTCAATATCACCACCAATCCTACCACTTCCAAGATGCATAATAAGGAGCTATCTTAATTTGCACAACAAAGAGGAAAATGCCAATCAGTCACTGATTCTGAAGATCAAGCCTGTCCCCTGTCATTCCTCCCTTCTCCCACCTGGCACGGCTAGAACGAGCTCCTCCTTACCATGTCGAGGATTCTTGGAAAGCCTTTTGCAGCGTGTTCTCTTTGCCTTCACGAAGTGCACTGCTTTTGGGGCTCCGGGTTTAATTAACTACAAGCAATCCCACCTGGGAGGTTGACAGACTCCTGTGATTTGTCCAGAGCTTGATTACATCACAGGGCGTCCGCAAATCGCAGCTCTGAGCCTGAGAGGCTTAAGCTATCATCCCCGTTATATCCCCGCCCCCTTCCAGGTCCCTCCCCTAACCCACAAGACACTTTCATGTGGTAGCGCTGGCAACAGGAGGGTTTCTTACATTGCGGTGGCCAGTAACAGCGCATGTTCATTTTCCTTTCCTCACAAAAACATGGTTTGTCAAAAAGAAACCAAATGCATTTCATCCGATAAAAATGAAACAGGGCTGTGCAAGGGCTTCTACCGGCTTGAAGCTTTTAAGGTTTACAATGCAGTCATTCAATGGCGTCAACCTCACGACTTTATTTTTCTAAGCAAGGAAAGTTCTATCATTTGTAAACCTAATAGCGTTCCTGTCTTTCCCATGGATTTATTTTCCTGGCAGTTTGAGCGACCCTGTCCCTAGTAATACATTCTCAGCTACTTCTGCCTCCTTGAAAGTTTCTCATGATGAAATCTCACCAAATTGTAACTAATATGAGAGATAACATTATTTTCCCCATGCTGTTGTTCAAGTTTAGAGAAGTAACGTTTATCGAAATACTGGAAATGCCTGTCACAGCATAAAGTCCTTCTGCCCTGTAAGGACAAACAAAATAACTTCACTCTCTGCCTCTTGTTCCCGAAAAGACTGTCAGCTTGTTTTGGGGGCTTTTTTGAGAGGCGGGTGGGTGGGGGAAGTGGATGGCATGGGAAGCTTTATTAGCAATTGAATTTAGGAAGGAAATCTCAATGACAGCAAGAGTTGAGATGTAAACAATTGTTTCCCTAGTTATTTCTCAGTTACATTTGCACGTAGCCACCAAATACTGTGTCCATTGAGGCTATTGTGGGTACTAAAGTTTCTTTACTAAGCAATTTGGCAAACAACAAACTTTCAAAAGAAGAAATCGTCGCCTCTAAATCTGAAAGTTGTTTAAATATCACATGCCTTCAGGATTCAAATGAGGGAAGATTTGTTTTGGGGGTCTTTCTCACCAGGTCCAGTGACCGTCTTTCTTGCATAGCACATGTGTTCGTGTGTAAACAAATACAAGGCTTACCATGCAACAAATTACTAACAGAGTAGTGGCTCTGCTCAAATAAAACCTGATAGCACAAAAGCAAAACCTTGTTTATAGGGGGTTGTATAGTAGGCCTGGGTTTGATTATAGATTCTTAGAATCTAGTAATACCTAATTGAAAAAAAGAAAATATATATACTGCCAAACTCTGAGTTGTCTTTCTAAAATCCTTTTAGTTTTGTGCTCTAGGACAGGCGTATAAATGTTTCTATGTAAGTCTCAGCTTTTGTCTGTATGCCATACTGAACAAATTTGGAGAAGGGTATTTAGCAAGGCGTATAAAAGATGTCAACTCCAAGTAAGATTTTTCTATAATTTATGTTAAATTTCAAGATACAAGCCTGCTATGATAGAAGAAAATAATAAACCCAAAAGAAAAATATCAAGGCAATCCTGCTATTTCATTATATGCCACAGTGCGCTAAATGTTCTAAAAACAAAAACAGCCTCTTCTTTTGCCTTGCCAGAGCCTAACAACTTTCGACTTTGTCTGATATTTGATTGTATAAACCTAGCTAGATGACAGTGAGGTTTCCCTTGGAAAAAAATTAGAGTTCAGCAGCTGAACACTGCCCATTAATTTGTCTCTTATATGCAGACTAGCTGTGCAGGGGAAAAGCTGTAATAGCTAAGTGGATCCACTTGTTACCCATTATCCAAAAGAGTTGAGCTCAGCTACTATTTCTTTTTTCTTTCTTGACACGGAGTTTCACTCTTGTTGCCCACACTGAGTGCAATGGCACCATCTCAGCTCACTGCAACCTCCGCCTCCCTGGTTTAAGCAATTCTCCTGTCTCAGCCTCTGGAGTAGCTGGGATTACAGGTGCCTGCCACCACACCCAACTAATTTTTGGCATTTTTAATACAGATGGGGTTTCATCATATTGGTCAGGCTGGTCTCGAACTCCTGACCTCAAGTGATCCACCCACCTCGTCCTCCCAAAGTGCTGGGATTACAGGCATGAGCCACTGTACCTGGCCCTCAGCCACTATTTCTGTTAACCATTCTGCCAAAAAACTTTGTCTTTTATCAGCTTATCGTGCATAAGGAACTTGTTAACATACACACACACACAAGCACACATGGGCACACCTACATCATCTTGCCACAATTAAACAGATTTTTACTACAAGATTGTCGTTGTAAATTAGCTTTCAGGAGGATAACCAGGATGACCAAAGTCCCTACCTCGGGGATCAAATTAACTACAAAATAAAATTATCCCTCATTACCCAAAGCTGAAAACAACCAAAAAGCCTGATAATGTATAAAGTAGGTCGAGAAATTCAACTAAAATGACTGGAATTTATCTAAAACCTTCCCTAAGAAAACTAAATTAAGAGAAGTTCACTTGCTGTGGTGTTTAAGGCTTTGTAATAAGGTCACCTGCGGCTGGCTCTGTAAACAAGAAGTGCATAAGACTGAAAAGTTAACTTCCAACATGGTTTATTAACCCAGCCATATTTCAAAGAACACTGCCTCCTGGCAGAAAAAAAACCTAGAACTATAAACAAATCTTTCAACAGTCTCAGTGCCTAGAAATCATTCTGTGGTTTTCAAACTTTATTGGGCATCAGAATCACCCTGGAGGCTTATTTAAAATGCTGATGTTTATGCCCTGCTTATCAAGACCCTGATTCATTAGGTGTAGCCAGTGGAGAGACGGGAGAGGAGTTTAGAGGCCGGATAAGAACTGGCACAATAGGTTATCTTGAAGAAAGTCAGTTAAGAACCACATTTATGGAGATAAGGCCTGGTTCCTGCAGCAGATATGACTGCCTGGCTTTAATAATTGTGATCTGGCAGGAAAATTCAACCTAAGAATAAACAAAAACTATGCTTCCCAGATAGGAAACACTGATGGCTAGAAGATCTTATCCACTGAAAGGAGGAGCTTGCAGTTAGATCATTTGAAGTCCTCCTGATTTCAGACATCCAGGCAGCAGCACATAATATAGAGCTTTAATTTTAAGCCATACCCCATTTGATACCTTAAACTATTTATAATTGGATGATGATCTGAGACTTTGAGGAAGCCTAGAAGTTGTGCTTCTCAATTTCTCCATTGCTTCCTTCTTTGGGGTTTAAATGGTTTTTTGGTATACTCTTTTGAATACCCATTTTCAAGCTCACCACTTCTTTCTTCTGCCTGCTCAAATGTACTATTAAATCACTCTAGTAAATTTTTTTACTTAAGTTAGTGTACTTTTCTGTTCTAGAATTTCTATTTGATTATTTTTTGAATTTCTATTTGTTTACTGATCTACTTTGTTTAGGGAAATATTGTTCACTTCATTTGCTTTACTTTTGTTCATGTTTTTATTTTTAGCTTTCTTATGCTAACGATGGTTGATGTAAAGCCTCTGTCTAATAAATAAAACATCGGTGTTTCCTCAAAAAAATGATAAATACCTCATTTAGAGAAGTAGAGCATTATAATAAACTACTCTGAATTAATTTATTTATGCTCTTCATGTTGAATTGCTTGGCCTAATTCATAGTGGAATTTTAATATGTTATTAATAGCATTCACTATTAATTGGACATTAAAGTTTGTATCTCTTAAAGAAAAACTATGGCTCTTCCTCCAGGGAACTCATCTCCAGACTATAAGAAGGAGAGCGCTATTTTATTGACTTTGCTGGTGACACAAAGCAGCAGTGTGTGTGTTGCTTAATTGCAATACAGTAGTCGCATTTATATAAATGCACGGTTTATCTTTTCACGAAATTATTCTATGAATCCTTGTTCCCTAGCCCTGATTAAGATAAGAGGGCTTGAGGTTAACAGTGAGAGTTGAAAGATAAGTGATTGAGGGTTTTCATTCTTGGCTCTTGAAGTGATCAATTGCCATGAACTGACTGAAATGGTACCTACATCCAGAATTTCTCATTACGCAGAATTTACATGACTTGATTTAACATGATTCCCAGAATGATCCTAAGATTATGTATGATGTTAGATAATTATTAACCATGCGATTTTCTGTAGAATCCTTTAGCAGTAACTATAGCACATACACAACAAAAGTAAGAAAACACCATGTATATTCTTCTTATTCTATCTGAAAAGTCTGAGTCTTCTTGTTTTCGAGTTTTTCTGTGGTTGAGTGCTATTAGAAAATTCAGAATAAAAGCTGGACAACAATCTTTGCAAAAGGATTTGCTAGTCTAAACCGAGCAGAAAATTTTGATGGCTCATGAAACAAGCTGGCTCAATTGCTCCCACAATCCAGGGCTGCAGATTTGTATAAAGTAGATAACCACTTACAATTCTAAGCCACTGGAGCAACGTTTCATAGGTAGTCTGTGGTTCCACAGGATTCTCCAGTGGAAAAATAGCATATACCTGTTCAGGTGCAAACTAGGCTTGTGCTATGAATTATTAAACAACCGAAAGCTGACATCAACACTGTTGCATCTTTCAATGACTTTAACTTATGGCATAAATTTTATGCATTACATTTACTCCCTATGGAATCTAGCCATGAGTCCCAACACCAGAG